CAGGTGGGAATGCCCCGTGCCTCCGCCAGGGGGTGRAATTTCACAAGGGAATGCTGGAATTCTGTGAATCACCGGACAGAGTCCCTCAGCAGCAGGCGGGAGTCCCGCCAGGTGCCGCTTGCATGGCTCTGCMGGGGGCTGGGGTTCTCTCAGGCATCCCCTGCTCGGGTCCGGGCTCCTGCCGGGGCTGTAGTGGGGTCTCCGCTCCATCCCGGACTCACCCACAGCGGTTCCCGGGACTCCTGCCCGGCCCGGGACGTTCCGAGCCCGTTCCTCTCCCGCCATTTTGAGAGCCCCTCAGGGGAACACGACGCCCCTCACGGACCCGGGCAAAGCCCGCCACTCGCTCCCATTGGCTGATTTTCCCGCCGAAAGCCCACCGTTCATTCCGATTGGCTGACTCAGCTGTCACTCCTCGTTCTCACGCACTGATTGGTCAGTGAGGGGCGATCCCGCCTCGTCCCCTCACGGCTTCGTCTCCCTGGCCCTGACGAGAGCTCAATCACGGTGCGGATTTTACAACTTTTATCTCTCTCATTATCTTATTTCTTCCGCATTAAATGTTTGTGGTTTTCCCCCCGTTGTTCCCCGTGTCCCCTCAGCGCCGGCAGCTCCGTCCCTTCCCCCACTCCCCCCTCTCACCTGAGGAACAGCGATTTTTGATGTTTTTGCCCTGCTGAGGGTCCCTCCTCTTCTTCTCTGTTCCAATTTTCCCAATTCCACTCTTTCCCGTCCCCCAGCACTCCGGGCTGTGCCTCCCTGAAGGAGGAGAGGGAGCTGGAAGGTGCTGGAAGGTGCCCGCCCCTCCTTTTCCTGCTCTCAGGTGCTCCTGAAGGGAGGAATTGCCCACAAAAGGGACACATTCCCACTTTAAGGAGCCCTTTTTTTTTTTTTAGGATGAACATCCCTATGGCTGCAGCAGCTCTGGGGCCACCCAGAGCACCCACAGGATGTCCCTGTGCCACCCCCTGTGTGCTTTCACACTGCTGACCACAACAACCACCCCCACTCTCGGGAGGGACAGCGACCACCGGGGCCTCGGGGCCATTTATGGGATGGAAAAACAGCTTTGGGTGATGTTTGTTCTCAGGAGGGGACGGAAATGGGGGGGTCAGAGCGGAGGAGCTGCGGAAATGGGGCTCTGCTTTAGCTGCAGAGTTAAAAAATCACCTCAGCCAGGCCACTGTCACCTAAATGGGGATAAATTCCTGATTTTTGGGTGCTTCCGTAGGTCCTTGGGGCGGTTTTCAGCTCCTCTGCAGAGCGAGAGGAGCAAATCTCCCAAATGCACCATCAGCAATGGTCCCTCACACCTTTATACCTTTAATTCCTGTCATTTTGGGTTGTTTTCTACCTTTGCTGCCCGCAGCGAGTCCAGTCCATCCTGGTTTCCAAAAGCTGTCTCACAGAAGTGCCCTGAAAGTGAGAAACGGATAAAAACCAGATTTTTTTGAGCTGTTGGGAACATTTTCCATCCTTTCCCCTTGAAGGGGAATCCCATTTCTAAAGAGTCTCCCTGTTGTTTTGGGATGAAATGATGGGATTCAAACTCCAGGAATGTCCTTGAAGGGCTGGAGATGGGACTGGAGCTGGGGAAGGGTCTGGAAAAGCCGTGAGGAGCAGCTGAGGGGGCTCAGCCTGGAGAAAAGGGGGCTCAGGAGGGACCTTCACACTCCAATTTCCTGGGAAAGGGTTTGGATCCCGGCAGAGTTGGGATCTTTTCCCAAGAGAGGGGGAAATTCCTTAATGGAAAGGATTTTCCAGCCCTTCCCGAGTCCCCATCCCCGGGGGATTTAACAGCCCCGAGGATGTGGCACTTGGGGACACTTTGGCACTGCCGGACCCCACGACTTTTCGAGACTTTTCCAACCTCAACAATTCCACGATTCCTCCAAATCCACCCGTTTGTACCTCATCCCGAATCAGCACACTGGACAGAGGGGAGCAGAGCTGGAGCCGCCTCTTTACACCGCCCGAATTTTGGGTTGTTTTGGGGTTTTTGTTATTAAAGCTGTTATATTCGGGAGATTTTTGATTTTCGGGTAAACCGCGGCTCGGTTTGTGCCATCAGCGGCTCCTCGATGCTCCCGGAGCTCCCATTCCTGGAAGGGAACAGTTTTTCCCCGGTTTCTCCCGGCACAGCCCGTGTCGGGTTGCGGTTTTTACCCTCGGGGGGCGGCTCCACGCGGTTCCCCCGCCCGGGACCGGGCTGGGCAGGGCCAGCGACCCCCGCCCCGAGCGGCTCCGCGGGTCCGCTCAGCGGGGCCGGAGCTCCCGGTGCTCCCGGTGCTCCCGGAGCTCCCGCCATGGCCACGGAGATCGTTTATGCCGACCTGGATCTCGGAGCCGGGGAGCGCCGCGGGGAGCGGCTGTCGCGCCCCGAGCCGGGCTGTGAGTGCGGGGAGTTTGGGGAGATATTTTGGGATTGTGGTGGGGCAAAGCTCCGGGAGAGCGGGAGGGGAAGGGGCTGGGGGTGGGATCAGATCCCGGAGCGGTTCGGGGTCAGATCCCGGTGCGGTTCGGGGTCGGATCCCGGCGCTGTTTGTGATCCCGGTGCGGTTTGGGGTTTGAATTTCTGGGATGCGCCGGGCACCGCTTGGCTCCGCGGCGAGATTGAACGGGGTTGATTCATTAACTAATTCCTCCCGGGATTTCTCCCCCGGGATCCTCCCAGGGATTCCTCCCCCGGCATCTTTCCCCGGGATTTCTCCTCCCAAAACCTCCGGGATTCCCCTGCCCCCGGGATTCCTCCCCCCGGGATTTTTCCCCCGGGTTCCTCCCGGTGATTTCTCGGCCAGGATCCCCCTCCTCAGGGGTGCCCCGGCAATCCCCGCGATCTCCTGTCCCCTTTGTCCCCGCAGCTCCGGGCTGCCCTCGGTGGCACCGCGCGGCGCTCGGGGCCGGCTGGACCGGGAATCTCCTGCTCGGAGTGGCCGTGGTGGCGCTGGGCTGCTCGTGTGAGTGCGGCCGTGGGGACACGGGGACAGCCCCGACAGCGGGGAGGGGTCCCGAGGGGTTTGTGCGGGGGGAAAATCTCTCGGCGGGGGATCGGACAGGGTTTGACACCCCCGGGCCGAGCTCGGGGTCA